ATCAGTGGCGTACATAGCAACAAAACTATTATTTATAATTAATGACCCACCGGTGGGTCATGCCGTCGTCAATGTGTTAAGAAATGTAGAAAACCGCGACATTTACAAATCTTGAAATGAACAGATTGGAAAGGCCGTAGATTTATCATCAATTCTCATTTTAGATATTGCAATTAATGTAAATAGCTTTTGAGTAATTTAATATCAAAAAAGTATATGAATTTCATTGATCAATTTATTAAAATAGTAAAATCTAATTCATTATTAAATTTTGACGAAAACTAAACTTTTTACAAATCTCTTATTAAGCTTATTGCAAAGGTCATATATTCTGTTGTTATGATTGGAAGTTTGATCAAAGAAAGAACAACTATAATCTTTTGTAACAACTGTATTAAACTGTTATAAACGTGCGACATTGTCGGCTTATACATTTGCACTATATTAAGTCTACTAAGCGGTTTTACATAACGGCGTCTGTTGTAGTGTATGATTGGTTGCAGCTCCTATTACCATTCTAACAGTTTCTTATAAATTGATCAAATTGTCGTGCGTCGTCATCGAGTAATTGTATTTATATATATATATGATTGATCAATGAAAATAAACACTTTTGGATAATTGAAATATTGATTGAATTGAATTCTTAATAAAATTTGTACAGCGTTAATCTGAAATTGGAATTTCGCCGTATTCCGAAATTCAATAAATAATCTCGGGTTTCGGGTAAATAATAATATCGGATTCGATTCGAAAACTGATAGAAAATAAATAAAACGTTTCCATCTCTCGGATCGGTTTGAATCTGTGCACGCTTGTTTGCGAAACGGATTTATTTATTGGGATTAATTGATTGATGTTTGCGATGCTTTTTGATGATTTTGTAATTTTCTTTTGATGTTGTGGATCAAATTTTTACTGATATGAAGATAATGTTGGTGTGTTCTTTCTTGCTGTCGTCGTGGACGGATTAGGTGCGGGCACCGGACAACCCGTGAACGGCGCCATCCCGAGTCTCCCTTCGCCGACGATGCCCACCTTCAACATGGCTGCGCAGACCCCAAACGGCCAACCGGGAGGAACCGAGGCCGTCTACACCAATGGCATCCCACAGACCTATCCAGCACGTGAGTATTCTGCATCGAAAAGAAAATAAAAAAACGTAGAGGACAAATCCTTGGCGGGTTGTTGCCGTTGCGTTGGAGCGCAGGAGGACGATTGCAAGTGGTGCAGATGCGCGCATGCATTCGAAAAGATGAGAAGAACCTGCCAACGAACAACCCGCCAACGGAGATGGCCGCAACAACTATTTTGCCTTCGCGCGATACTCACGAGGACCGAACTCACTGAAATATAGATGCCCTTCATCTGTCCATTCCAGCACAAGGCCTGCCCAACGGTGAGGCCGCGCTACAGCATCAGCCGTACCCAGGGATGCAACCCTATCCGGGAGTCGGTAAGTGAACAACAACAAAAAACTTATTACTACTACTATATAAATAAATCTACGCACAAGCTTTTTCTACGTGCGACTGCAACAAAATTTAAAAAAAAAATAAATAAAACAAAAACAGTCAAGGGTTGCTCGCTGCCCGGTTTTCTTTTCTATTTATCGATGTTGGTATGATCTGTTGAGCTTGCTGTACATATGTAATTTGACGACCACTCGAATTTTGGGATTTATGAAAACTAGAGCTTCGATGTCGCTTTTATCCATTTCTGTTTTATTTCTTACTTATTTTATACTTCTTCTTGTTGTTTATTACCCGTTTACATTCTCCAAATTGAGAAGGAACGAAACTAATCCACAAACTGCTTCAACTATTCTTTAAAAAAAACGTCAATCAATTTTGCTGCAAATAAAAATTAATCAACTTTTTACAATTATTATTAATTATACTTATTAAATTAAATTGAAATATCGAATATTCCGAACTGTTGGAAAAGCAATCTTGTTTTAATGAAGCCTAATAAAAGCGTAACGTAATATATATGTTGAGATTCATTAATTAGTTTGAGAAAACATATAAATTTTTGAAACTTTTCAATGCGGACGAAAGTTATTACAGCGAACTCTTGATGAGTGAACGAGAAAACAAACAAACAAACAAAGGAACAAAAGTGTCAGCTGAAATGTCGCAGTCGATTTGATTAGACAACATACAAAAAAAAGACAGTGCGATTAGGCAAGTTGATTGACGTTTGTAATGCGTGGATTAGTTTGGATTGCTTCGAGTGGTAATCGACAATTGGACAAGTAGGGAAAAAGCCAAAGCAAACGAATGCATGGATGGATGAATGAGTGAAGCAATGAAAAGCAGTTTGTGGATTAGGGCATGCCTGATTTTGATTGCGTCGATGGATAGAGTGTTCGGATGTGATTTGTTTACATTTGTCAGCAGCTTACCCCGCGGTTTACGGACAGTTCCCACAGGCAATTCCCCCCCAACCTCCCATGTCGGCTGTGGCCCCCACGCAGAGGGAAGGTAAGGCAACATATACAGATTACGTAACTACCAAACCACCCCCCAAATTCCCCACAACAAAAAAAACCCACATCCATCACATCTGATTCTCTCTTTATGTTTCATTTCTTCTTTAACATTTGACGTTTCTTTTACTTCTTCTCTTCTATGTGTGCATACTTGCTGCATCCTGGATGTTTATTGTTAAGAAGTAATATTATATAAGTTGGAATCAATACACAAATTTAAAAAAAAAAAACTATAAGAAAGAATCGAAATATTAAATTAGTTTAAATATAATGTAACCTAAAATAACTTAACCATAACTATGTGAAAGTTAACTATCTTAAGAATAACTTATGCACTAGTTCAAATTTGTATATTGAGTCTAATTTAAACGTGTTAAGTCCACTACAAATCTCTCCATTAGGTAAACAATGTAAAACAATAATGAATACAATTATTGGATATACATTTTTTAAAAAAAATCTTACCTTTTTGGAGGAATTGTTGTGGTCTTCTGTATAAAGTAATTATAAACTGGTACATGTTTTAACTCAAAACAATACTTTTTGTTAATTATTTAGTTTAATCTGTTATTTAGTTTAATTGTTTATGATGAAAATTAGATATTTTTCAATTGAGAAAAACATGTTTTTGTTTATATTTTTAATATTTGTATATATATTATTGCATTTCGATGTGACACTGCACTTGAATGTTTGTATTTTTTGAAATAAGCAAACTTATCGTGTATATAATCTCATTGAAACTCGTCTGGTAAATTATAACAACGTTACAAACGAGTTTCATTGTGTATATAATAAAACTTGACGTAACGTTTTACAACAAAAAAAAACTCCATAAGTTAACGATTTGTTTTTTAATTAAAACAATATAAGTTATACTTATTTTTATTAATTTTTTTAAACTTATTTTTTGGGCAAATGCTTACGGAGAGTTTTATGCTGCGACAGTTTTACGCGACGCCCGTAAAACCGCCGCAACGCCGTTCGAAGGTGGCTTTTTTTTAATGGCTAATTATGGCAAACTTTTCCTAATTAACCATATAACGCGATTTACGGGCTGCACTTAAAATAATAATCGGCGTTATTAATTATTATGACAAAAAAAATATATATATTAAAAAAAAGAAAGTGTATATAAAATATGAACGTGCGCGTTTCGGTCTCATTCGTGACATAAACTTAATTAATGTAAACGTCAACGTCGTTCATTTCGCAGCGAAATGTTAATTATGAATAATATAAGAGAAATTGCGAAAAGAAGAAATAATTGTATTTTTCCAATTTTCTGATCAACTTCAGTCTTTTTAAGATAATTAAAGTGATTTAATGAAATTTTAATAATAGTAATTAAAAATTGTTAAAGAAATACAGAGAATTTTCTATTTATATGCAATTTTGTTGAAATTACAAGAAGGAAAATGTATTTATTGATCTAATCAGAATTTCGATTTATAATTGGAAATTTCATAAAGAAATATTATTAATCTTTTATTAATTCTTAACGTTTTTGGAAAATATTGAAGTGTTTGTGAATTTCATCAAAATTTCATTAATTATTGAAAAATCTTATTTACATAATTACAAATAAAAAGAATGATTAAATTCAACAATTTCTATACGTTTTAACAGAATATTTTCATCAAATTATTTAAAAGCGTATAAAAAGAATATATATAAATAAATAGTTTTCATGTTTTCACTTAACAATTAAACAAATTATTTAAAAGCGTATTCAATATACAAAATTGTACCTATTTGTACGAAGTTTTTGCCAATTAGTAAATTAAAATAAATTCTCAATAACAAAATGAAATTTTGATCAAACACTTCAATAATTTCTGTACTTTTTATTAAAAACTTTCGAAATTTGA